GTCAGAAGTTGAGAGGCTCTGCAGGCCAGCCCCTCTGGAATTTCCCCCCTGCTCTAAAACTTTGGAGAAGGCCTTAGAGACAGTGGGTGGATCTTAGAAGTTGCTGGCTTGCACTCTTGAGGGACCCTGGCCAATCCCCAACAGGAGGTTGGAAAGGGGATAGGACACCCTTAAAAGTGGTTGGAGTCTGCTCAGTGGGGAGAGTCGGGTGGAAAAGGGAGAAAGAGCAAGATGTGGGGTTGCAGAAAGGAGGCTGCAAGGAGGCCCAGTCGGATGGGGTCTACCTGCAGGCCTGGAGCTGGAAAGGGGGAAAGCTCAGAACTCACCGGCCCCTTGAGAGAGGACCACTTGTATGGCAGGGAAGGAGCGGCCCAGCTGATAGGCCTGGTAGCAGCCACCAACCCCCCAGTGGTACAGGACAGGATCTGAGTGAGTACACCTACAACCCCTGAGCAGATAGAGGAAGGAGCACTCTGGTGAGAAACCAGATTAGCCACCTGCCAGTGACTGTTCATCTTTTAAAGTGACAGGAACTGGATCCTCTGCTCAGGGATACCTCGAGATTGCTGGGTGAAGAGGAGAAGTTCATCTAGAGTATGGGGTGGTACACTGAGGAGATGCTGGCTATCTCTCCAATAAACACTGTGCTGCAGAGAAAGCTTGTAAAATAGTTCCAGGAAGTTGACCTCAGTTATCAGTTCCTTTTGGCATCCTGTACACCCCTAACCCTATCCCAGTTCAAATCCCATTAATAAAAATAACAAAAAAAATGATTCTCTGTTTCTGGATGCAAGCTTTTGTGGTAAATGCAGGACTATAGGGGGACACAAATCTTCAGCAACCCTCAAGGGGGTAGTGCTACACATACAATAGAAGGAAATCTCTTTCAGATGAGCAGGACAAAGATGGTAGAAAAAACAATGCCCCCCTTAAGGTGAAAGAAAGAACCACCCTGGGAAGCAAATAGTCCCGGGGTAGACATGTGCAGAATGGAAAAATGTGTTTCGTTTCATTTCAGATAATTTTGTTATGTTACTAATTTTGTTTCTTGGATTTGTTTTGGAATTCGTTTAGTTTATTCATTTTCTAACAAATTCCAAATTTTCAGAACAGTTTGAATCAGTTCAAATCAGTCGAAATTGTATTGACCAATCCAAATTCTGTGTGAAGAATAGCTGGTTGTTAAGAAGTGGGCCGGGAAGCCAGCTACCCACTTAAAAACTGATGACCCACTGAAAGCTGCATGTAAACAATTAATGTCAGCAATTAAAAACTATGAAAAAATAGTGTGGGGGTCCCCCCCATCTATACCAGGCCCTTTGGGTCTGGTATGGATTTTAAGTGGAACCCCATGCCAAAATTGAAAAAAGAGAAGGCCCTTGTCCCCATTAACATGGGGACAAGGAGCTTTGCGAAGGGGGGAGCCCCCTACCCCAAGCACCCTCCCATATTGAAGACATGCAGCCTGGTATAATTCAGGAGGGGGGCTGCTCACTCTACCTCTTCCTTTCCTGACCTGCAGAGCTGTATGCACTGATAAGGGTCTGGTAAAGATTTTGGAGTGGGAACCCCACGCTGTTTTTTTTTTTAAATTTTGGCATGGGGCTTCTCTTAAAATCCATACAGACCCAAAGTGCCTGGTATGGATAGGCGGGCACCCCTGCACTGTTTTTTTTCTTCATTTTTAACTGCCGGAATTCTTCTGTTTACATTCAGCTGTCAGTGCGGAAACCCACTGACAGCTGATGAGTCATCAGTTGTAAGGATGCAGCAGCTGGCTTCCAAGCCTGCTCCTAAGAAGCAGCTATTCTTCATGCAGAATTAGGATTGGTCGATACATTTTTGACCGATTCAAATTCGAATTGTTCTAAAAATTTTAAATTAGTTAAAAAAGGAATAAATGAAACAAAAGTGGTTTAATTTTTACAAAATTTGTTACTATTGTTATTTGGAGATACCGATACATCTGAATCCCAGAATAACCAACAATTCATCTGAATTTAGATTCGAACCAAACAAAAAAACACATGTCTAGCCCTGGGTCTCAAAACAATCCTTTCTTGTGTAGAACAAGAAAGGGTTGTTTACAGGTAAGACCCCAAACTCAGAAACTCCCCTCAAAGAAGTGATGGCAACTTTGTTGAGTAAGGAAAGATAGAAGGATATCCCTAATAGGTTCAAAGGATGATCTTTAAAGAACCCTGTTAGGATCCCACAGGGTCATTGGGGAATGAACAGGAGGAACAATGTAAGTGACAGCCAGTACTTAGACTTTCACTAAAGAATGAGAGGCAAGCAGTCTCTCAAAGAGTATAATCACAAAAGGAGGAAGTGAGCGCTAAAAGCAAAAAAGCAGCCAAAGCACCAAAAGGATACCAAAAACCTTTCAAAACCAAATACATATATATGGTGCAGCGCTAGATTGTTCAATAAATGCTCATTATATAAAATATGCCAAATAAAACCAAAATTCATCATAAAAATAAAGTGACATGTGACATAGTGCCAAAAATACATATACAAACAGTGACTTTTGTGATCTCATGTGGTGTGTCACTATTAGAGTGACCAATGGTGATAATACTAGAATAATAGTCCCAATGAAGAGTATGAGAGATCAAATTCTCTCCAATAAAAAGGTGCTCCATCCAAACTGTGGTGAAATGCCCAATAGTGTGTAAAAGCTGTGCACTCACCAGATGCACAGTTTATCTGCGCATTTAGAGAAATCTCTGAAGACTCCTGTATGGATGGATCTGGTCTGGTCAGGTGTACCCTCACTGCTCTCTCCTACTGGTATTGTGGCTCAGTCTCCCCTTACATGCAGCTCTGTGGGTTGGCGATAGCTCACAAGGAGCACAAGAAAGAGGAGGCCAATAGCAAGATACCGTTTTGCATATGGTATATATTTATTCCAGTAAAGCAGTACAAATAGGGAAAAGACAAAATCACTGATTGGCGTGATGTCAGAACGCTGTAGCTCCTCCCTGATGCGTTTCGTGCTAACCACACATAATCATAGGGGGTGTGCTTCCACATAATCATAGGGGGTGTGCTTTTGTTAAATCTGCAGATTTAGATACACTAACAAATTGAAGCCAAACTCCACACTGCAGTTACACAAGCAGTAACAGCGACATTTAATTTTCTTTTGGGATAAAGGTTTTACATGACTAAATAAAAGCTGATCATTGTAAGCACCCCGGTCAATGGTAAATGGTTTGTTTCATCCCTGTAATTGCCACACCTGCAAGAGAGCTTAACACAACAGACTTATTGTCCTGAACACCAGGTGAAAATAAAGGAAAGAAAGCCTAAAAAGAAAACGAATGCAGCCTTCCCATCTAAGGGTTGGTAAGCTGCAGTATAATAAAGGTTTGCTTTTAATACCACTTTAACTACCACCATCCCACTGCAAAGGCATAGGATCAGGGCTTTTTTTCCAGCTGGAACACGGGGAACACAGTTTTGGTACCTCCAGCACTGAATAAATGTAATGGCAAGGAGTGCTGGGCTGTGCTGGAGAGTCTCTCTGCTGGGGTATCTATTTTCACTGGTGGGGATCTATTTTTGCTCGGGGTCTATAGTTGCCGTGGAGGTCTACTGTTGCTGGTGGGGGATCTCTTGTTGCTGGAAGGTTACTTGTTGCTAGAAGGGATCTTCTGTTAAGGGAGGGGTGTATTGTTGCTTACTGCTGGAGGATCTATTGATACTGGCTGCTAGGAGTCTATTGTTGCTGTGGTGCAGCTACATTTTCTGGGGAGGTATTTTGTTGAGGGGGGGTCTATTAAATGTGCGGGGGATATCTTTTTGTTAAGGGGTCTATTGTTACTGGGGGGGAGGTGTTGTGCAGGGATTTGTTGTTCCTGAGGTGTCTATTGTTGCTTGGGGGTCTTTTGTTGCTGACTGCAGGGGATCTATTTTACTCCTTTTCTTGTTATCATTAACAAATTCCATGCAAATAACTCACCACAAAATGAAACTGGGTTAATTTCTAAAATGTGTGGTACTGGGAGGTAGGTATAGGGTGGAACCAAGGGAGGGTGCTCGGAGGTGGGTAGGGGGTGGAGACAAGGGGTGACTAAGGTGAAAGTTCCTGCACCTATTCTCTGAGAAAAAAAGCCCTGCATAGGATCAATGAAATTTGAGACAAACCGGTGCTAGTTGTCGTTGAACCTGGAAGTCAAGAGGTCCATGTCCCATGCACCCCATTTTCAACCAAAGTCTAGAACCACCTTGTGGTGAAAAAACCCCACTCTCCGAAGTTCAGACCATGATGACTAAGGAAGTCTACCTGCCAATTTTAAACACTTGGAATGTACATGGCAGTGAGAGCTGGAACGTGCATTTCAGCCCAATACAGAATCAGATCTGCTTCTCTTTGAGCAGAGAAACACCTGATGGTTGAAGTAAGCCATGGTTATGGTGTTGTCTGACTGCCTAGGTGACCACCTAATGCAATGTCCAGTGCATAGAAGGCAACGTTACAGGTCGGCCCTATTTTTTTCTACCTGATGGTGTTTGCGTGCGGCCCCCCCCAGAGCAAAGCTGCAGAAAGTTGCGACAAAGAATCTTGATATGAGAAAAAAATTCTTGATAAAAAGAAAAATTGACATAGGAAATGGTTTGCTTCCCTCAGGGCATAGGTAATATTGTCCATTTTCCTAAGGACACCAGCCAGAAACTGAGGCATAGTGGAAGGAGTTATACTGGGCTGGCCATACCATCCCAAATCAATGATCTAGAATATGTCCCCTGTGTCTCTTTAGTCACTTCATGCACATGCCCAGGCTCACATCATTTCATTTCATTTCAAATACAGCACCAAAAAACTAAAAGCAGTGAGCACTAAATAGCTATTCAATTTACTTATTACTGAATTATGTGCTTTTCTTGCAGCCTCCAGAACAACTCCCAGGAGACAGCTCACCAATACAAATTGGACTGAACTGACCAAATTCTGCATTAAAATGTTCAGCCCTGACCCAAATAGCACTTACAATCTTTGTTGTTGAATAATTCGACAGAAAGCGCAGACTCCAGATCCTGCTGCTTTAGATCCTCTCTCATCTTTGTAGATTCCAGCACAACTCTGTTGATCAGTTCACCCCCTGCATTGCTAACGGAAACAAAGCAAATTATGTGATGCAGTGTTTATTATCCTGACACAGCCAAACCTAGAAAAAAAAACCCGATCAGTGAACAAAGTGAGTTTTTTTTTTTCAGGAGAAGCCGCATAAAGACTCCAATAATATTGCAAATTATAGTTCGATCTCTTTAAAACTGCAATCTAAAATTTCTAACCAAAATTTACTTTACTAGACTGAACAGCATTATAGTACAATATATCCTTGTAAACCAAGTAGGATTCCCTCTACACAGGCCGCTGGGAGACCAAATACTATGGTCTATAGCAGGATTTCTCAACCAGGGTTCCTCCAGAGGTTGCTAGGTGTTCCTTGAGTAATCAGCAATTTTTGTCTCTCGGGTAAGTTCCCACTGACACCATTGAGCTTTTTAGCAATCTATAAGGGGGTAATTCTTCCCAATGACCACAAGTGTAAAGAGCATTCTTACCTCTGACTATCACACTAATGGATCATGAATTGTAAATATAGTCATTTTTAGCAGAGGTTCCCTGAGACCGGAAAGTTATGTCAAGGGTTCCTCTGCACTGAAAAGGTTGAGAAAGGTTGGTCTATAGGTTTGATTCTTCTTGGGTTAGGGAAAGGCCTTGGAGAAGAATGCCATTATTAGATATATGCAAAGCATTTGACAGTCCTTTTGGATCTACCTCTTCGTCTAGGTTCACACCTAAGCATTTTGCGGCGCATTTTTCAGAAACACATTACAGTCCCTTTAACATGATTTCCTATGGGAAACGTTCACATCTCTGCGTTTTCACCCAGTGCGTTTTTTGGAAAGGGTCAGGGACTTTAACACAAAATGTTGCATTTTGGTTCAATGAAATTAAATGGAGACACAGCAGAAAAGCATGTAGTGCGTTTTTGATGCTTTTGGGTTTTAATCTGCCCGGCAACAAGTTGGCAAAAAAAAAATAAAATAAAGCAAAGCGCATCAAAAATGCATGTGCAAAAATGCAAAAAGCACTGCAGAAATTTATCAAACCAAACTGCACAGGTGTGAACCTAGCCTTCCAAATTTTGTCCAGCTGGAACTTTGGTCCCAAATTTCTCACTTTTCTATGTACTTTATATAGCTTTCCAACAGCCCAAATATTGACAAGGGGCTCTAAATTAAACTATTACCATAGCTTGGGTAATGCTTTTAATGCTACTAGACTTTAGCTGTTGCCCTCCACTCAAATCCCACTATCCTTGGTGTAGAAAACGGGAATAGGTCTCACAAATGCGTCTTGTTTGCTGATGACTTGTGGCTATTTATTACTTCCCTACATACTACTATCCCGTACTTGATCTCCCTTCTAAGCTGCTTCTGAAAGGTCTCTGGCCTCTTAGTAAATTGGGATAAGTCAGAAGCAATAAATATTAATTTGGATAAAAATACCTTACAGAGCCTTAAATCTCAGCATACATTCTCATGGTAATCAGTTTCGTTACATCTAGGTGTTATGCAGACCCCACACAACTCTGTATAGGGCCAATTACCAGAGTCTGTTTGACAAACTAATGGAGGAAGTTGAAACATGGTTAACGAACTCCTTGTCTTGGATGGGTAGGATCACAGTAAATATGTTGATACTACCTAAACCTTTATACTATTTTAGAGCTCTGCCTATACCAGTACCTGTTAATGCCCTTAATAGGTTTTAAACCAAGATAATGAAATTCATTTGGGGATCCAGTGGAAGTAGGTTGGTGCGCCATATTCTATATGCCCCCAAAGAATTGGGAGGGATTTTAGAAAGTATAACGTGGGACAACTAACCCAATTGACTCAAATTCACTCTACTTGCTAAAAGCCAGATTGGGTATCTTTAGAGGCGCATGCCTGAAGTTAGTAATGTGGGTATCTCCTAAACTCTGCATCTCATTCTTTGAACTTGAATTTTTGATTTCTCCTGTAAGAAAATACCTCTTCAACCTCCCCATGTGCCAGTGGCTCCACTATTTATAATCCTGCATTCCCACCTGGCCTACAGCCCCACTAATTCCAATGGTGGCTGAATAAAGGCCTACATCGCATAGGACATTATTTAGATTGGGGGTCAGCAACCAGTAAGTTGTGATCTACCAGTAGATTTTGGCCAGGTGACTGGTAGATTGTGGTCTGGGCTTGCTGACCGCGACCATCACAGAGCATCAAACAGAGTGCAATGCAGAGGCACTACTTGTAAAGTTGGAGCTGTAGGAGGGAGCAGGAGCCGCATAATCCGATGCCTCCTCTGTAGTGCTGGCTCCTGTCCCATGCAGAGTGATACCAACTGCACTCCACCTCTTTTCCCAGCTAGCCATCACTAGCAGCAGGAAAGAAGAGGTCTTCAGGTCAGTGTGAAGCAATGCACTGGGCATAATAGTATAGGGCTGCTTTCACACTGATTTGCTCAAATCATCAGTAATCAATTTAGCGATACTGGAAGTGAAGCACTGAGAGAAAAAGCATGACTCTTGTTTGCAATTTGATGCCCTCCTAGCCACAGCTAGAATAAAACCGAGCAGGAAGCTGGAAGAAAGCCATGACCTCTTATGTGGCAGGTAAGCATATTTGGGCTCTCAAAGTAATCCCTTCATAAAAAGATACATGAGGTGCTACTGTTGGCCTCCTTCTGAAAATCCTAGTTCCATGGCATTTATGCTGATGCACTAGCGTTAAGGCCATTTGAGTCACCGATGCTCAACAAATAGGCAGATTAGAGAAGTCAGCACGTAATCAGAGGTCACAGGCTTATTTACAAACAGCAGGGTCAGTATGACAGCCAAGCATTTAGCATTTTCAGATATAGATCTTATTAGTTATCACAATGACTTACCTGCTAAGTTCCAGCACTAGCGCTTCACTTATCTCCCACAGCTGCATAAATGTCCAGGTTTTAACCAAATTTTGTGGCCGCATCATGTAACAGCTCCTTCAACTTAAACTTGAACAGCACATATTGTCACTGTTCATCCACAGTGTCAATAAGCTCCCTGAGCTACCAAAGTTGTTTTGTTTATTGTCTTAGCAAAGCACCCTAGCCTGGTCTCTGCAGCAATTGTAGCCCAGCTATTGCGTAGCCTGAGTTTCCACTGCACCCAAAGCCTCTGCTGCTCCTTGGCTCCATCCAGTCTTTAAACGCATGTCGGCATCCACAGTCTTCACCGAGCCATCCCTGCACTTGCAGCCTTCAAATGCACTTCCACCCCTTGGCACCAACCCTGTCCAACCCAATGTCTGTTCTGTGATAAAATATACAGTCAGGTCCATTAATATTGGGACATCGGCACAATTCTAACATTATTGGCTCTATACACCACCACAATGGTTTTGAAATGAAACAAACAAGATGTGCTTTATCTGCAGACTGTCAGCTTTAATTTGAGGGTATTTACATCCAAATCAGGTGAACGGTGTAGGAATTACAACAGTTTGCATATGTGCCTCCCACTTGTTAAAGGACCAAAAGTAATGGCACAGAATAATAATCATAAATCAAACTTTCACTTTTTAATACTTGGTTGCAAATCCTTTGCAGTCAATTACAGCCTGAAGTCTGGAACGCATAGACATCACCAGACGCTGGGTTTCATCCCTGGTGATGCTCTGCCAGGCCTCTACTGCAACTGTCTTCAGTTCCTGCTTGTTCTTGGGGCATTTTCCCTTCAGTTTTGTCTTCAGCAAGTGAAATGCATGCTCAATCGGATTCAGGTCAGGTGATTGACTTGGCCATTGCAGAACATTCCACTTCTTTCCATTAAAAAACTCTTTGGTTGCTTTTGCAGTATGCTTTGGGTCATTGTCCATCTGCACTGTGAAGCGGCGTCCAATGAGTTCTGAAGCATTTGGCTGAATATGAGCAGATAATATTGCCCGAAACACTTCAGAATTCATCCTGCTGCTTTTGTCAACAGTCACATCATCAATAAATACAAGAGAAGCAGTTCCATTGGCAGCCATACATGCCCACGCCATGACACTACCACCACCATGCTTCACTGATGAGGTGGTATGCTTAGGATCATGAGCAGTTCCTTTCCTTCTCCATATTCTTCTCTTCCCATCACTCTGGTACAAGTTGATCTCGGTCTCATCTGTGCATAGGATGTTGTTCCAGAACTGTGATGGCTTTTTTAGATGTCGTTTGGCAAACTCTAATCTGGCCTTCCTGTTTTTGAGGCTCACCAATGGTTTCCATCTTGTGGTGAACCCTCTGTATTCACTCTGGTGAAGTCTTCTCTTGATTGTTGACTTTGACACACATACACCTACCTCCTGGAGAGTGTTCTTGATCTGGCCAAGTGTTCTGAAGGGGGTTTTCTTCACCAGGGAAAGAATTCTTTGGTCATCCACCACAGTTGTTTTCCGTGGTCTTCCGGGTCTTTTGGTGTTGCTGAGCTCAACGCACGTTCCTTCTTTTTAAGAATGTTCCAAACAGTTGTTTTGGCCACGCCTAATGTTTTTGCTATCTCTCTGATGGGTTTGTTTTGTTTTTTCAGCCTAATGATGGCTTGCTTCACTGACAGTGACAGCTCTTTGGAGCTCATCTTGAAAGTTGACAGCAACAGATTCCAAATAACACACTTGAAATGAACTCTGGACCTTTTATCTGCTCATTGTAATTGGGATAATGAGGGAATAACACACACCTGGCCATGGAACAGCTGAGAAGCCAATTGTCCCATTACTTTTGGTCCCTTAGCAAGTGAGAGGCACATATGCAAACTGTTGTAATTCCTACATCGTTCACCTGATTTGGATGTAAATACCCTCAAATTAAAGCTGACAGTCTGCAGATAAAGCACATCTTGTTCGTTTCATTTCAAATCCATTGTGGTGGTGTATAGAGCCAAAAATGTTAGAATTGTGTCCATGTCCCAATATTTATGGACCTGACTGTACCTAACCACCTGCTCACAGTCTTTGGCAGCATGCAGCCTGAGCTTTGCATGTGCAGCTCAGCTTACATCACCGACATTATTATTATTATTATTATTATTATTACACAGTATTTATAAAGCGCCAATAGTTCGCTCAGCGCTGTACATTACAAAAGGGGGACAGAACATGTGACAGAACAATACCAATACAATGCAAAACATGAGGGAATTGAGGGCCCTGCTCTTTCGAGCTTACAATCTAGGAGGGAGGGGATGGTGGCACAGGAGGAGATAGCTGTGGGGGATGGAGTGGTTGGAAGAGTGGAGGAGGTCGGCAAGTTAGCAAGGGGTGGGGTAGGCTTCCCTGAAGAGATGGGTTTTCAGGGTGCACCTAAAAGAGAGGAGAGTAGGTGATAATCTGATGGGTTGGGACAGGGAGTTCCAGAGGATGGGTGACACCCTGGAGAAGTCCTGGAGGCGGGCATGGGAGGAGGAGACCAGGGAACTAGAGAGAAGGAGGTCTTGTGAGGAGCAGAGTGTGCGTGCTGGGCGGTACTTGGATATTAGGTCAGTGATGTAGTTCGGGGCAGTATGGTGGATAGCTTTGTACGTCAGTGTTAGGATTTTGAACTTGATCCGCTGCACAATCGGAAGCCAGTGGAGGGATTGGCAGAGGGGGGTGGCGGAGACGGAGCGTTGGAAAGGTGAATGACTCTGGCAGCCGTATTCAGGATCGACTGAAGCGGGATAGCCAGCGGCGAGGCAGGCCAGGGAGGAGGGAGTTGCAGTAATCAAGTCGTGATATGATGAGGGGGAGTGGATGAGCTGTTTAGTGGTTTCTGGGGTTAGGAACGTGCGGATTTTGGCGATGTTGCAGAGGTGGAGTCTGCACGAGTTTGTTAAAGATTGGACCTGGGGCTGGAAGGATAGGTTGGAGTCCAGAATGACACCAAGTACTCTGGCCTGCGGGGCGGGTTTGATGGTGGCATTGTTGGATGTGATAGAGAAGTCAATGGGGGGTGGTGTCTGGGGGGGGGGGAAGACAAGAAACTCGGTTTTAGAGAGGTTCAGTTTAAGGAAGTGGAGCGACATCCAGTCTGATATGTCGCTCAGTAGGTGTGTGATTCGGGCGGAGGGGGTGAGGTGGGGGTTGAGAGATAGATTTGTGTGTCGTCGGCATAGAGGTGGTAGTTGAAGCCGTGAGAGTGTATGAGTTGGCCAAGGGAGGAGGTGTAGATGGAGAAAAGAAGTGGCCCGAGGACAGAGCCTTGAGGGACCCCAACAGAGAGGGGGAGTGAGGGGGAGGTGGTAGCATTATAGGTAACGCTGAAAGAGCGTTGTGACATGGTCCTTATGTGTCGGTATGATGGACTACTGCGCATGTGCAGGAGCTATGTCATGCTGAGCTAGCTAATGCTGATGCCCGAAGACTGAAACCCGGGGAGAAGATGCCAGCAAGGCACCCAGACTGATAGAAGTAGCTAATCATACATAAATTGAAAATTAATCTATAGTAAAGCATTTTTTTCTTTCCTTGGTACCTGAGGAAAATGAAGATAGCTTTACGGTACGACACGCCATCAATCTGCTCATAATAGTCCAGGAACGGCTTGATTGTGTCAATAAGTCCAATATGCAACTTGTCCATCTCATCAAATATGAATATGGATCGAGGACAGCTGGAGACATTTCCACGAATCCAAGACTGTATTTGATCCTGAAAGAATAAAAAAGGACAATGGGTTTTAACATATGACTGCATCAACATAGACAAATTCTACATTGCTACGGATTACAGACATCATAAGACCCTTAGCCCCCGGTCACATCAAAGCTGATTTTGAAATCGTGTGACTTACAGTGAAGTCGCACAATTTCAAAATTGGGTGACCTGCCAATTTCAGTTGAGATTCACAAGACATCTGACACAAATGTCTATGCAAAATCGCAACAAAGTAGTGTATGCACTACTTTAGAAATCGGTGCGTCTCTGACCAAATCCGAACCGCACTGATATGTCCGCTCTAATAGTGGACAATAGGGTGTGACTTGACTTATGATTTGCAAGTCGCAGGGCATGCCAAGTTGCACCCGATGTGACCGGGGTGTTAAAGCAGAACTAAAACCAATGATATCATGTACCTGGTGATGGAGACCAATGGAGAGAGGGCTTCCCTTGCAGCTAAGTTACGGACTCCCCCTGAGAGTGGGACAGCAGGAGTCAGGCCCAAAGTTGCACAGGTCACCTGTAGGAGTGCTGGTTGGTGGTTCACTCAGAAGCACAGCTGGTGCACGGAGATAGGTCTGCAGACAGGAGGCACCTGTGCGTGGTATGCAAGCCCTTCCGGGATTTAGATGTTTACTGGGTAGTCTATTCAAGCCAAGGTCAGGTACCAGATGGGAATCAGAGCAGACGTAGTCAGATGGGAGAGCCGAGGTCATACACAGGGGAGCGAGAGAGAGAGTATCCGTAAGTCAGGCCGAGGCCAGATCAGCAGTAAGGCAGAGTAGACAGGTCCAGGAGCAAGCCGAGTCGGTAACAGGAAATCATGGGTTAAAGTCATAGGAAACAGGGCACGGGGAGCTAGAGGTCATCCAGCAACTTGAGGAAGTGATGAGCCTCCTTATAAAAGGCCGTCTGGCACCAAACTGAGCCTGATGTTTCCTTCTGTGGCCATGCAGAGTACTGGCAGAAATGCCAGATCTTCCAGAACTTCTGCCATAGACAGGACCCTGACAGTGCAGGCCACTCAAGGATAACAGATACTTTCTGTGAGAGAGTATCCGTAAGCCAGACCGAGGTCAGATCGGGGTAAGGTAGAGTAGACAGGTCCAGGAGCAAGCCGAGTCGGTAACAGGAAATCACGGGTCGAAATCACAGGAACAGGGCACAGGGAGCTAGAGGTCATCCAGCAACTTGAGGAAGTGATGAGCCTCCTTATAAAGGCCGTCTGGCACCAAACAGAGGCTGATGTTTCCTTCTGCAGAGTACTGGCAGAAATGCCAGATCTTCTGCCGTGGACAGGACCTGACAAATTATTTAATATTTACCTGAAATAAAGCTCAAGTTACAAATGTTTAAAAACACTGGAACATAGTTATAGTTAGTCTGGCTGGAAAAAAAAAAAAAGACCATGCACTTCAACAACAAAAGAAATGTTTTAATCCTATACTCATGGTTGATCCAGAGGAAGGCAAAAATACCCAACAAAGCATGATCCAGTTTGCTCCTGCAGGGATCACCCGAGAGGCAATCGGATATTCCCTGGATCAACTTTACCTATAAATGTTAGTATCCAGTTACATTATGTGTAACTTCAGTAGGAAAGAATCCAGGCCGTTTTTAAAGAAATTTAGTCCAGAACCAGCTCTTGAGGGAGTCTATTCCACATTTTCACAGCTTTTACCGTGAAGAAACCTTTCCGTGTTTGGAGATTACATTTCTTTTCCTCTAGATGTAAAGAGTGCCCCCTTGTCCTCTGTGATGACCTCAGGATGAATAACTCAACACCGAGTTCACTATATGGGCCACTGATGTATTTATACATGGTGGTCATATCCCCCCTTAATCTCTTCTCAAGTGGAATTCAGTTCCTCTAATACTTCCTCATAGCTGAGCTCCTCCATGCCTCTTATCAGAGGTTGCCCTTCTCTGCACTCTCTAGTTTCCGAATATTCTTTTTGTGAACTGGAGCCAAAATTTAACTGCATATTCCAGGTGAGGTCTTACTAATGATTTGTACAGGGGTAACATGATATCTCTCTCTCTGGAGTCTATACATGCTATTAAACATGTCCAGTGAAGAATTAAAAAAAAAAAATCAAATTTCATCATAAATTTAGGCCAAAAATTATTCTGCTACATCTTTGCCAAAAAAATTCCCAATACGTGTAAATTAATTGGTTTACATGAAAGTTATAGTGTCTACAAATGGCGGTATATATACTGGAATTTGCTTTTTTTTTTTTATACTAGTAATGGTGGCGATCAACGACTTACAGCAGGACTGCAGCGGGCATTCTGACACTGGGGAAAACTGACTTGGTGTCACTGTGGATGTCAGTGTGTCACTGATCGCCGCCATTACTAGTAAAAATTAAAAAAAACAGTTTTTAAAAATCCCAGTATATATACACCAGCATTTGTAGACGCTATAACTTTCACCTAAACCAATTAATCTACATGTATTGGGATTTTTTTTTAGTAAAGACATGTAGTAGAACACATTTTGGCCTAAATTTGACAAAATTTTTTTTTTTTAATTTTTACTGGACATGTTTAATAGCAAACAGTCAAATATTGTTTTTTTTTTCTCAAAATTCTCTTTTTTTTATAGCGCGAAAATAAAAAACCGCAAAGGCAATAAAATACCACCAATAGAAAGCTCAATTCATGGGGAAAAAAGGACATAAATTTACATTGAGTGCAGTGTTGCATGACCGCGCAATTGTCAGTTAAAGTAACGCAAAAAATGGCCTGGTCAGGAAGTGGGGTAAATCCTCTGGGTGGCAAGTGGTTAAAGAGATGGATATAATGTCCTCCTCAACCTATGTAAAACAAATTTACTTAGTGGTTTTTCCTATAAAGGCCAGATGTGTTATTAGAGGGGAGTTCTTCAAATTGTGAAAGTTTGTAAGATCTACAAAAGGTAAGAGCACCTTGTACAGATTAATTAGGTTGTCGTGTGGGAAATGCATAGTTGACACGAAAAGATGGACATATTCGCTCTTCATCCCCTTTTTATGAATGTTCTCTGCGATGATTTTGCTGACGAAGTTCTTGCCGCTGCCACTCCAGCCATGCAGGGATAGAGTCAGAGGCTTGCTGGGGTTTTTATTGTTCATAAACCCTGTGATTGCTCGGAAGATGACGTCATGGGCCAGGTGCTGCCCAAACAGTTTATTTCCCAAGTCTTCCTGCAAAGCTGATAAAAAGAAAAAGTGTTACAGTGGAGCACCAGGCTACTAAAATGGGAACATAATAGTCTGTGAAAACAGTCCAGGTACATCTTTCTTCCTATAAACCTCCTCTCCTTCCACCCAGATGTTTCAGATTTCTTTTCCACTTACTTTGCTCCAGTAGGAATAGAACCTCTAGATGTTTTCTTAAACCTGTTATCAGTCAAGGCACCTTTTAAAATGATGCACAATTTCAAAAGCACCCATGCTAAAATGTAAAAACGAATAGTTTGTCATAGCACAGCAGCATCCACACACATGGACCACTCAACAGTAGAGGTGATTTAATATTCAATAGTGTAAACCGCGCTTAGGTGTACAGAAAATATTAAATGGAAACAGCTGCGAACATACTCTGAGATCTAAGCATTGTAGCAAATATTGTAAAAGACATGCTGCGCAAATTCCAATACTAAATACAAACCAATCAGAAATACAGTGACTGAACATCATCAAAATAAGCAAAAAAATAATAATCCTATGCAATATATATTACTTATATATAGTGTAAAAAAAAATATATATATAATCATAAATGTCCAAAGAAAAGGTGAAAAAGGTGTGACCACATCCACCAACATTAAAGATTAAAGTGATAACAGACCACCAAGAATAGAGAGATGGAGGAAGCCTGGCATTGAGCAGCAGACTATGCTCCTCTAACATCATTAGCAACACTTCAAACCTGAATGCTGCCATTTGGTCATCACGAATTGAGAGCATTCTTGGTGGTCTATCATCTCTTATTACTGATGTTCATTATGTTCTATAGCGTATTTTCAGAGTCTAATGGATAGATGAGTATTTAGGGAATTTCCAGTTCCCGGTTTATATGCTGATCGGAGTACGTCTTAATTTCCGAGGACCATATTAAAGAGGAAACTCTATGGGATTATTGTGCTGATGTGTTTTGTGACCTCTTTAATCAGAAGGTCAAAGCTATCTGGTAAGCCTGCATGACGTTATCCAGTGGAGGCCTTTTTGATGGTCTTCAGAAAACCTTCATCTTTAAACTCTAATGTTGGTGGATGTGATCACTTTTCACTTTTTCTTTGGACATTTATGATTACATTTTGTTTACACTACATATAATATATATTGCTTATGATTATTATTATTTTTTTGTTCATTTTGATTATAGTCAATCACTGTATTTATGATTAGTTTCAAGTATTGGAATTAGCACAGCATGTTAGAGGTGATTTATTCTTCTATCTTTGCAAACTGGTCCGACTAATATTCCAGAATTTTACTTCTTCCTTAGTTTCTCTACGTCTTTCTGCTAATGTGACTCCAGTGTTCTCTCTCTCTCTTTGGATAGAGTGGAGATGGATTAGAACAGGGCTTGAAAAAGCCACTTGCCAAATGCGAGGGGAAATTCTTGTGTGGCAAGCACAGATGGAGCGGCTCCACCTGCGCTCCAAGCCTCATTGTGAAGCCGAGTTCCGGTTTCCAACTTCCAGTTTCTGACTTCTTCTTCGGCACCGCCATTGCACTGGCAGCGCCTCTGAGGGGACAGGTGCAGGAGAGGTCCTCTCTCCTCCGCTGAGAGGAGAGGCCCGCTCTCAACCGCCTTGGGGGGCACGAGGAGAGGCCCGCTCTCCACCGCCTTGGGGGACACGTGAAGGAGAGACCCGCCAATGGTGCACATCACTACACCCGCCAGCTTAAAGGTAAATGACATTTTTTGTGCTGAGCTCTGGGGGCAAAATGATTATGCTATACTTCTGTAAACTAAAAACTTACATCTTTTAAAAGAGACTTTAGTTACTAAAGTCTCTTTTTAAAGATGCAGGAAATAAACAAAAAAATACAAAATGTTTACTACAGGTTTAAAGCTGTAAAACTTGATATTTTCATTGCACCTGATTGCTTTTAAGCTATTGCTATTATGTTTAAATTAACATAATAAAGCTATGCTATAATTGCAGTTTTTTTATAGTTTGGACTCTTTATTCTAAAGAAAAATTTAATTTCATAAGCTTTAAGGGGACGTGGTTGGGGGCAGGGCTGAGGGCGGGATTGGGGGGGCAACTGGTGGAGAGTAAGGTTTGTGCCTGGCTAGTAGGTCTAGACTCAAAATTTTAAGCCCTGGATTAGAACACTTAGCAGATTTTTATTGTTGTCTGTATCCCGGTTAGGGAGATTCACCCTCTTTGTCTTGGTGACCATTATCACCAAAAGTGAAAGTCCCAAATTGTGGGTTGTGACCATAACAGAAATAGAGCAGAAATCTTCCAACGGAGACACTAGTTCTGATGACTAATAGGGATCAGTGTTAATTTTGACATCAAATTTCAATTTAGTTTTAGTCATAATCTTTTGACTAAAATGCCATTTTAGTTTTACTCACATTTTAGTCATCTAAATTGTTTTAGTTGTATTTTAGTCGTCCAAAATCTTAAGTACATTTTAGTCATCCAGAATCTTCAGTACATTTTAGTTGTCCAAGATCTCCAGTACATTATTTTTTTCCATAAGAAATGTTTATTGAAAGAAAAAAAAATAAGACATACAGAATTTTCCACCAACATATAAGTACAAATCAGTCACTAAACTACAAGGGTGTAATAAGTAAGCATGTCAAAGTTATTACCATCAAGCAAGGCCAGTAACATTCGTGGAATCGAGACCCCAAAGGGCCCAAGAGGTAAATCACAATTATCCTCCAGTACATTTTAGTCGACTAAAAATCTAATGGGTTTAGGTAGGTTGTAATGCATTATTTAAGCATTTCTCTAGAATTGCCAAACTCATTGTAAACTCCTGGAGTAAAAAATCTCATAGCATATTAATTATGGCATTAAAGTTACTACAGATACAGATTTAGCCTTTGTGATAACCCCTTTATAAATAAAACCAAGTTTCATGAACAAAAAAAATATTGCTTTTTTACAAACAGAACCAAAACTTTAAAATATAAAACCCCCCATAAAACTGTAAACTCTATTGGCTGTAATGAGAGAAACCATTGTGGTACGTGGAACTGGAAGTGATGCCACAATGGGGAAGGCCTGTAACAGGTCACCTCTATATAGGTGGTCTGGGAATATAGCATACTGTACTGATACCTAATAGCAGTCCTCGTTCCTATAAGCCAGGGGTCCCCAACCCCCTGGCGGTGGACCGGTACCAGTCTGTGGCCTGTTGATAAGTTGACTGCACAGCATGAGATGAACAGCGAACACGGTCTGGACAGGACTACCATGGACTGTGGTCACCACTCACCTCCTGCTGTGCAACCACACCACTTAGCCCGTGTGTCCTCTTCCGGGTCTCCCGCCCCACCAACGATGTCATCCTATCAGCAGGGCAGTGGGCGGGAGGAGTTGCAGATCTAGACAGAGAGTGGGAGCCTTTTCATATTAACAAGTAGGTAATCACCCTCTTGTTAACATAAATTGAGCAGCCTCCTGCCTTGCTGATAGAATGACATCATCGGCGAGGTGGGAGACCCAGGGAAGGGTGCACAAGCTGATAACGGCCTCTGGCCTACCAAAAGGTAGGACTGTGTAGGGGGGGCAGTTTGTATTGGGGCAGTAATGTTAGAGAGGAAAGGGGGGACATGCCTACAAGAAGCACTGTGATGGGGAGGGGCTGTGATTGCTAGGGGCAATGCATTGTAAAGGATTATGATTGCAGTGCCCATTTACAGTGCAGTCCCCTTTAGATCACTGTGCACCTTTACAGTGCAGTCCTCCCAGCCAGGGTCAATTAGCTCCAGATTGCCCGCACACTATAGGTCACTGATCACCGTCTTTGCTATATAATGTCTGTATGGATCAAATATTAATCATTAACAGAACTATTTTACTGTTCCCCTTAGTATAGGAAAGCAGTGTTAGCAGGATCAGCCCTGTTCGCTGCCAGTACTTGCAGTTAGCCCCTCTGCACCCCCCCAACCAGTGAAGTGTCAGTAGGTCACTGTCACCTCTTAAACTCTGTACACAAAACCGCAGCATTAGCAGAATCAAGCCTGATCTGCTAACACTAGCAGGTAAATTTTATTTCTAGTGGGTCAAGCAGTCCCTGACAGCCAGGAGCTCTTTTTCCCATGAGTCGAACTAGGTAACTGAAAAGTTTAGTACCCAAAATGTCCAAATAAAAAAGGTACACTTGTGAAACATTATATGAAGAGAGGGACGAGCGCTGGATATGATGGGATTCAAGCTGCTAGCATATAGGTAAACCTTGTATACCCCCTTCATCAAAAGTCAAATACAAAAAATGCAGCGCTTGAGTGTATAATACAGGGAATTCGCATGAATAGCAGATTAAATGTTCATATTTCAACATGCACCAGATTCCACATTCTTAAATTGTTAAAACAATCATCAGATGAGTAATGCAGATCTATCCGACTAATCAAGGTGCATATAGTGATGGTGATGCTAAAATCATAAGTTCTGTGATGTATCCAAAGAAATCCGTGACTTCCGTGATAGGGGAATAACTGTATAATGCACTAGCCAGATAGCGCAAGTACATGCGCATTGGAGTATAATGACCTACTCCTGGTCACAGCCAGATGGTTCTCAGCGTGAAGCCCTCAGGAACACCAGTGCACCACTCTTGCCGTCTCCTACCACCAGGGGGGGTGCGCCTCTTTACAGTAACACGAAATCACTTTATATCCTCTATCGCCAGGGTTGGTGTACTCTCTTATCAGGAGATCATCTCAGGGGCTAATTCAAAAGCTGCCCATGATAATGATCAGATCCCACATCCTGCTGCAGGTAATCCGCTTGATTAGTGGATCCTTGATCCTCAAGGATCCACTAATCAAGCGGATTACCTGCAGCAGGATGTGGGATCTGATTATTATCATGGGCAGCTTTTGAATTAGCCCCTGAGATGATCTCCTGATAAGAGAGTACACCAACCCTGGCGATAGAGGATATAAAGTGATTTCGTGTTACTGTAAAGAGGCGCACCCCCCCTGGTGGTAGGAGACGGCAAGAGTGGT